TGGGGCGCGCAGGTAGATTTGTACCATGTCATGCACCCCACACAAGAGCTCGTAGGAATATGTAGCACCAATACTCAATGCAGATACATGCCACAGTGTAAAAGAAGGCTCTGCCTTCTTGCTTGCAATATGGTGCTGCTACATTGCTTGCCAGACTGCCAGAATTAAGGCAAAGAAGTTAATGAGAGACGAACCTTGGAGCAGAACAGAGCTGCTTAAAGAAAGCCTATAAAACAGTACAGAATTACTTTCCTACTAGCTTCACAGTCCAGTATAAGGGCTTTGTGTGAGCCAGGGGCTTGTATGCATTTGGTAGCAGTATTTTATAAGCTTTCCTTCTGTGTGGATTCATCTACTTGGGTTTTGTTTTAATTTGTTTGTACTTTTGGTTACCCAGGTCATCCCTGGAGCCATGACTAGTGCAACATGAAAAAGTGTAATTTTTTTTTTGTTTTCAAACTTCTACCCGATAAATTAATTTGGTATCTCTTAGTTCTAGTGCTATAAGAATTCAGGTAACCTTCTTCATGTGTCTTTTATACTGCTACTTAGATGTCTCTTTCCCAAGGTGAATCATTCTCATCTATTTAGCTTGTCCACCAAAAGAAGCCATTCTGAGCCATGGCTGTCAAGTCATCATTTTCTGTATCATTTGTGATTCTCTAATTGTTTTTAAGATCGAGGATAGTTACAGCATTCAATATTCAAGAATCAACTGAATCCTTCTGTTATATTTAACCTTTTGAATAGCATTGATTTTGCTATCATCTGCAGTGACTAAATTTTTTCTTTGAATGGTGTTAACTTATTTACATCACTCTGTATAGTTATGGTTGCTTTTCCAAATTCAGTAATTCACAATTGGCAATATTAAATTTCACCTGCCTCTTTATTGTGGTGTCATTCAGTGTGCCACTATCTTCCCACAGTTCTTCTACGAGAAAATCAAGAAGATGAGAGAGTGGCAAAGGGCCAACTTGTAGAAGGCATGTGAGGAAAGATGCACAAGCAGCACTAGGGCATTGGGAATACACCTCCCATTCACTTCCACTGAGACTTAACCAGCAGAGGACGTAACATTTTCTTTTTTAAACAAGCACCTCTGGACCTAGGAAATACAAAGCATTGCCAAAAATATCTAAAGTTTTGGGCTTTGTTTGTTTGTTTTTTAAAGGATTAAGTAGTGAGGTTGAAATCTTGAAGGAGAACATATTTAAACTCGGGCTATGAAAGCAATAGCAGAAATCTTGGCTGGAACTCACAATGTTCAACCATATGAGGTGTGCAAATAAAAAGGCCTACACAAGCAGAGTAAAATGTACAGTTCATGCCAATCCATAGGTAGCCTTATAATAAACCATGCAGAAGAATCATTTTGGCTTTTGTTTTGTATTTGTTTTGCTTATATAAGAAAAAATAAAAATAAGGCATTGTCCAAGAATGTACTTAATGGATGGACCAATATTTGGAATTTTTCTTCTCTGCGCAGAAGGTGCAGGGGAAACCAGTCTCACAGAAAATCTCATGAGATAACTTAAAGGTTAATCTCAAGATTATTTTTACAAAACAACCAAAATACTACTACAAATGGTGTTTTCTTCCCTGAAAGTGCCCTGGCAAAACATCGGACCTGAACACTCACCAGTACTGAGAACCTGTTATTGTGAAAAGCTACTTTTTAATTATGTGTGATCTATAAATGTGCAAGTTTTGCCAAGCTTTGTTCCCTGCTTGATATCCAAAGCTTGTGCTTACCTGATCTTACTCAGCAATGTACAAAAATACACAGTTCAGAAGAGAAAATGGATACAGATGAGGAAAAAAAGAATGCAGCGTAGTGATCTTGGGCTGCCATCAAGGCTGCAAGTCGAACGTCTGGTCTGATCTAAGTAACCATTTTATGGAAGTTGACAAAATGCCTCTTTTCCTCCTGGCACTCTCTCCTTTGAGTGTCTTTGTTATTGGGCCCTTCTTGCTGAGGTGCAAAATGCTTGACTAGTCTGAACAGCTTAAAAGGTTCATTGCTCTGGAAACCTCTACAGCAAGGTGCTACATCATCTCACCACTGTCCAGGGTGAGCTGGCTGGGCTAAAGAGAAAGTGCCAGCTGTGACAGTGTTGGCTGCAGGGGAGGGAGTTTAACTGGGAAGATCAGAGCTGGCCTCTTGCAAAGGAGAGTTTGAGTAGAGCCAGGCACATTGTGGGGAAAAGGCTGCATGTCCCTTTGCCAATAGGAGCCAACAGGAGTATCCTCCTGCACACACTTGCTGCCTGGGTCTGAGAAGTCCCCAGGAAAGGTGTCAGCTGAGCATAAGATGCAGCTAAAGGAATTTTCGTGACAGGCTGCTGCCAGCCTGTCCATCTCTGGGGTGAAGCCCAGCCCTGGCCTCCCGTCCTGTTTCTGCTTTCAGGTTTTGTTTGTGTTGGAGGCAGCATTCCTGTGTTTCAGAGAGACATGCTCAGGCGTGGAACTCTGCTCCATCCTGGTTCATTTTCCAGACCGAGACCAAAACAGCAAGGCTGATTCTTGTATGTCTGCGCTTTGTTTCTTCTGCTGGCAGTCTTGATTTCCCAGATTGGAGGGGTGAGGGGGAACCCTACTGTCACACATATGAAATGTCTTGCACTACATGCCTTATCTTTTTATAGTCTTGTCACGTTTTGTGCTATCAGCATCTCAGTTAAACCACTTCTGGCTTTTCATCAGTCAAGTTCCTTCTTAAAAACAACAACAAAAAAACCCCAAAACCCCACCAACAATAAGTCTGGAAATACCCTGAAAGGTCAGAAATCAGATTTAAATCCCTTTGATGTGACCAGTTACAGTTTGCCAAGTACGGTGTTTTGTATTTGGTAAACTAAGCTGTCTCAAGCTGTGACAGAAGCTGATCTGGATTGATAAGAATCCCAGAAATGGTATTGTCTGGGTGAATGTGCTGATCTGATAAAACATGGGAATGACTACAAGGTAACAGATCAGACACCTGATGGCAGGATTTGGAATTATGAATTACATAAAGCAAAGGTCAGTGTTGTGCCAACAGGCAAGACGTGATCTGGTTGTCATAGGGAGACTGCAGGGAAGTATGTGTCTGTGCCTCAAGTTCCCTTGCTTTCTATGATGCTTTGACTCAGGGCACCAATTATTTTGATGGTGTTGAGACAGCTTCTTTGGGTTTGTTATTTTATCAGCAGATCTCATTTAAAACTTCAAATATGAAGCATTCTAAGGCTTTTCATCATGGTGAAAGAACATACTTAGCACACGCATGCACAGGAAAAAAGCGGTTCCTAAAATGTCATGTGAGTTTCTGTTTTCAGTCACTGCAGAAACGGGACTGATGGCACTTGCTTCCTGACACACTGGAATACCCTGCTTCACTCGGGTAGGTATCATAAACTGAAGAATTTTGCTTTCCTCTTTAACTTGCAATTTCTTATCCTTTGCTCCTCAAAACCTCTCTCTCCCCTCTAGTTACCCCCTTCCATTTTCATAACCACATAGCAGCCCTGTTAGCACTCTTGAAAACACAGCATGGTCATTATCTTCTTATTGATTCATCCCTCACTATGCTATGGAGTAGGGTGTGTATTCCTACCTTCACAGCATTCCTTGATTCCCTCTCCCCTTCATAGCATCTTCTGTAGCCAATATGGGGAGGCAGCAAGATTCAGCTCTTGTTCTCCAGTCTTCCCTGTAAAAGTTGCTTCTTCATATATCAGCAAGACCTTGTTAGAATTTTAAGTTAAGCCCCCAGCTGCTGATTTGGAATGTTTTTGGTTTTTTTTTAATTATATTGATACTTAGCCCTGCACACAACAGTCCCTGACTGGCATTTAAGTACTGGCATAATAGAGGTTACAATAGTCAGCCTGGGTTGTTCATGTCTCCTCAGTTGCTTCTGCAAGGCTGTATTCAGCTCTTACCTATGCAGCTCCCTTGCGTTCTGGTAATGCTTTTAGGGACCTGTCAGCAACACAACTGTCTTCATTCACATGGAAAGGGTTAACAGGGATTTTATAAACAAAAAATTCTGTTAATGCCTGAAGGACGAAGATCAGGCACTTTCTCAGTTCTATCTTGACTTTGCTAGATTTTCTTTCATTTCTAAATTTACTAATATCTAAGTCGAAGCATAATTGAGCAATTAGTTTTTCCACTACTGTTCTCACAGTTCTAAAATGTCACTGAAGTATTCTGTGACTCAGCTTAGTTGGCTTGCAGTAAGAAATCTTTTCTTCTATCTGAAATGCTCAAGAACAGCACTGCTATTGCTTTCTATTTTTCTTTCTACAACTAAATCTCTGCATGTTCTTCTTAAACCATTAATTTCTTGCCTTTCTCCTCATCAAGACTAGCTTTCCAAGGAACCAGCTGAGAGCTTAGAACAAAAGCGGGGAAAAGGAAGTACTTACTGAAACTTCCCTAAAAATACCCCTTAGCAAACAGGGTTCCTGTCCTGTCTGTTCTATTTATAATGTCCGGGAAGTAGAGCAGGGTTATTTCATGAAGACAAGCATTGCTTTCTTAACCTAAACCTATTTCACTGGTTATGCCAAGAAATCACTTGTTTTAAAGGGAAAAGGAACTAAAATGCTGACTTACCTTTCTGCAGAAAGAGGTGTATACAAAGCTGGAAGTTGATCAGGAAAAACACTTGGTGACAGTGTGGGCATGTGAACAGAGAGCTCCACTTTGGAGACTAAAAGGAACCAGACTGAAATCAAGGGGGATGACAGAGATCGGAGGACTTAAGTATATACAACCCTCCTGCTTGAATAGCGAGGCTTATGTAGCTTAGCCAACATGAGAATGAAGAATGTGTGTAATGGTCAGATTAGTTAAGCCTTTAGCACAAATTGTATAGACTGATGTTTTTGTACCCTGACAGCTCTGTACTGTCACCTGACTCAGAGATGCTTCAGTACAAATACAGAGAAGAATTTGGGAAGGAGGGTGTGAATTGCCTACTAATTTGCTTTCTGTTTTATAGCTACAGAATGCCTCAACTCCTGGGTAACAGCAGTTCACGTGAACAGGCTGCTGAACATTATGCATCAGAATCCATTGTCTCCATTGCTATCTTCATCATCATTTTCATCATAGGTATCCCAGGCAATGGATTGGTGATCTGGGTAGCTGGTCTGAAAATGAAAAGGTCTGTGAACATTGTCTGGTTCCTAAACCTTGCCGTGGCTGATTTCATTTGCTGTCTATCCTTGCCATTTTCCATTGTTCACCTGGCCCTCCATGAACACTGGCTGTATGGTTGGTTGCTCTGCAAAGTCATCCCATCAGTCATAATCTTCACCATGTTTACTAGTGTCTTCCTACTTACGGCCATCAGTATTGACCGGTGCCTTCTTGTGATGAAACCTATCTGGTGTCAAAATCATCGAACAGTGAAATTTGTATCACTAATATGTAGTGGCATTTGGATCCTGGCCTTCGTTTTCTGCTGTCCTGTCTTCCACTACCGTGAGACTAGCACTCATGATGGCAAAACTGAGTGTGGGTACAATTTTGGAGATCACGTAGTGCTGGATTATGTGGATAGTCCTGTAAATGAGTTACAGGAAGAATACTCACCTTTAGACTACAGTGGTAATGACTCCTGGGTTAATGTCTATGAAGGTGATTATTCTGTGTCACTTGCCTCAGTGGCAGTAAACATCACTAGGACTGTCTTTGGCTTCATACTCCCCTTTGGCACAATGGCAGTTTGCTATTCCCTCATTGGTTTCAGAATGCATGCAAGCCAGTTCCACAAGCCACACAACAGAATGCTGAGAACAGTTGTGATTGTGGTAGCTGCATTCTTCATCTGCTGGGCTCCATACCACGTAGTTGGGATTCTGTACCTTATACCTACTCTTGGAACACAACTGAGGCAGTCACTGATCCTCTGGGATCACCTCTCTACAGCACTTGCATATGCCAACAGCTGCGTGAACCCCCTGCTCTATGTGTTTGTGGGGCGGGACTTCAGGGCAAAGGCACGACAATCACTGCGAGGAATGTTGGAAGGTGTCTTTACTGAGGAGCCAACACATTCCATCCCTTGCTCTCTTCACAGAAGCAAGACTTCAACAGAGAAGGACACGGGCAGCACAGTGTAACGCAAGGCTTTCGATCACCACTGTAGAAAGGAGCTATGGCCCTGCAGCTCATTCACTCTCCACTTAACAGCTTTTTTCCTTTCTCCAGCACATTTGATTAATCTGCAGCTCCACACCCAAGGCACTGAGATGGTTCAGCTCATGACAGCAACCCCCCTTATAGCCTAGAGAGATGGGAAGTTGAAGTACCAAGGCTAATAATCTCAGGGAAGATGCTGGTGAAGGAGGAGACGAGAGTATTTCAACATTTAAAGGAAGAAAGCAGGCTTGCAGGATGATTTGTGGTGGGATCGTGTAGTTTAACCTCTGAATTGCTAGAAGAACATCATTACAGTTATTTGTGTATGTCTACATTCTACATCACCTGTCTCTGATAAACTGCAGATGAAAGTAACTTTTGATGTCTCCATAGAATCTGTCATCCTGTTTTCCCTCTCCTGTGAGTGTACTTGGGGTCTGAGGGTTGGGTTTTTTCCTCTGAAGAGCACTACATTTTCTTACAGCAGTGCATTAGAACAGCACTTGCCCCAGTCAGCTGCATTGAGCTGACTTCCATGCCTGGTAGATGATGCCCAAGATGTTTCTTTGTCCTGGCAAATACACCCCTGTAGAAGAGTAACTGGTCAAATGCACATGCTGTGGCTATATTCGTTAGCATGCACTCATTCACTCCCTCTACCACCAGAGTCTCAAAACTTCCTTTTAGGAGGTACAAGCAAATGTACCTACTGCATTTTAAGATGGCACACCAACAGAATTGCAGCAACTGCACTCATTGCTGAACCAGATTAGGTGGCTGCTGGACTATCAGGCATTTGGTAAAACCCTGGAATGGAGAAGTGATAACCGCCAGTCTCACCCCAAGAAGGTGGGGAATAAGCCTAGTGCAGCACAGTCATATCCTGCTCTCACGTCTTGCTGGTCGAGGAGGATAAAATTGTGTCCCGTCAGGCTATTTGGGGGTATTTTTCAAGTCTGGATGCTCTCTGCTCCTGAAAAGCACATTTCCTAGGAAGTGGTTTAAAAAACAGCTTTTTGTGTTAGTCCCTCCCGAAAGGAGTAAACTAAACAAATGGTTGGACAAACAGGCCCTAAGCATTGGCATCATTTTTACTTTGCCTTTCTGGCCAGCACAAGTTGAGAGACTCGCTGATCTCTGTGCCCTGAGAACAGCTGTAAGAACTTCTGACACCCTGAAAAGACTCAGTTTTAAAAGTACACAGGGGTGGGGGCTGTTCATTTAGCTGTGTCCACACCCAAATTATGGTTTGAGGTAAGTAGGTGGGAACCGAGCCCACGAGCCGGGCGCCGCTGGCAAAGAAGGCAATACTGGCACCAAGAGGGTTAAACCATAAACATTCACTTTTTGTTTTTATTAAGAAAGCATGCACAAAAATAAACTCGTGAGACCACGCTCCTCTCTCCTGGCCACTGACACAAAGCACGGGGGGGCCTGCAGGGGGGAGCTGGCACCGCGCACCCTGCGGAGCTCCACACGCCTGCCCGGGGCCAAACCACGCACCAACAACACACGTTTATCTCAGGGCAGAGGAACGAGGCTGATTTGCACACTGACCGGCATGTATTTACATATGCAAATGAGGCACAACTTAATACGCAAATGAGGCAAATATGAAAATGAGGAGCACTTTATACGCAGAAGGAGCCATCATAGTTGGTTTCTCTTCCGGTGGTGTTTTCAGACTTCCACAGGGCCGGCTTTCAGTAATACCCTCTGCAAAGCACTAACGGGCACCCACCAGAGGTCATGTCTCCTGGCTGTCTCTGGTGCCACTTTCCACAGAAACCCATCACACATGCTTCCGAGCTGTATCATTCCCATCCCGAGGCAGCAGAGAGAACAGCTGACTCCACGCTACAGTTGTCTGGGATTCCTCATTTCTCTTGGAAACACTCAATGATGAACTCCCCACCCCCCCCAAAACACACTTAAAAAGGGAGAAAAGAAAGAAAAAAAACCAAACAAAACTGTCCACCCTCCCAATCCAGGGAGACTCTGTCCACTTCCCTGACAATGATCCAATCACTTTATCCCTACAGCAAATTTTAATAGCAATGCTAGTTCCCCACCTTCCTGCAGCCAGAGGAGAGGTTATTACTCCCCTGCCCCAGGTCTGTCAAGTAGTCCTGATGTTTTATTTCTATCCTGGTTCCCTCCACTGGTGAACAGGGAATAAGGGCTGGGGGGAGGCTTTACAAAATACTAAGAAGAAACAAGAGGTTTGACAGAATGGAGCCAATACCAGCAAAAAGGGGAACACAGGACACAGCTTTGGGGAGGAGGCATCTCAACACTCACTCCTGCTCCTGCACCTTTTCCACCTTCCTGATTCACAAGTGCTGACAAAACTTATCCTTTGGGATTTACACTAGATTCCACAATCTCCCCAGCTGAATTGCAAAGGGGTCTGACCCACCCTCCTCCCTTCTATACTACACTCTTTGGCTATTCATTTTAAGAATCTACCCCACTTCATCCTCTCTTCTAATGCACCTCTTAGAAAAGACACCTGTGAGGGCCTCCCAGTTACTTGACCAGAGGGTCCAGCCCCTTGCCCATCATCCTGTCATTCACCACCACTCTGAACAGCAGCTTCCTCTTCCCACCACAGCCCATTCACACAGTGGGAACTGCTGACAGCATTTGCACCTACGCCACAAGGGACCTGTTGTTGCTGGTGCTCTTGAACCACAGGCAAGGGCAGTCTCCAAAGCAATCCAAGGGCTGGAGGGTCAAACTACAACTGAGCAAATACTGATGGGAGAAAACCTCCAAATTTGCATATGCAAGTAAGAGCCTCAATACTATTTTGAAGAAAGGCTTGAAGGGGTGGGGGATGAACTTAAAAGCTCTGGGGAACAGAATTTCCTGAATCGCATGTGACACCCCTGACTGCTTCTTTTACCTGATGGGCACGTGTAGGCTTCACCTGGAGACTGCAGAAGGCAGTGTAGAAAATCGGTCAGGATTCCCTTCAAATCTCCCTCAGTTGTCACAGATGGCACTGCATTCCAAAACCCAACTTCTCTACTACATTCTCCTTTCTCCAAACTCAGGCCAACCCTCCCAGCTCAGCTCAGCTCTCCCTACCTCAGGGATTACTCTCTTTTTGTACTTGGGAACTCTACTTCTGTTCCTGCTGGTGCAAGAAAGTTCACAGAGCTAAGATCACCTCCCCAGTGTCCCTTTAGCCCCCGGACCTTTACAACATTTACGAAACAACAGAACTACAGGCTCCCAGGGTCCACTAGGCTCTCTCACTCCAGTAGCCAATACAACAGATTTAACGGCCACCTTGAAGG